AGGTCCTGGTTTTGTTTCTGTTGCTGTGATAAAGGTTTTATTTCAGCTACAGTTCCATTGTGGGAAAGGCAAGGTGAGAAGTTCACTTAGCTAAGGACATCACATCCACAGTCAGGAACACAGAGAAGTAAATGCCCACTTGCTTGTTTGTGCTCACTGTGATCTTTTCTCCACACAGTTCAATACCTAAGGAATGGCCCCACCCACAGTGGACTGCTTTCTCCATCAGTTGACTTACTGAAGACAATCCCTCACAGACACATCTATAGTCTAACCCAATGGAAATAAGCCCTCATCAAGACTTCCCAGATGATTCTAGGGGCTGTTTGGTTGACAATTAAAACCAACCTTCACAATCAGCATTATCAAAAAAAGATACCATGTGGTGCAATTTCATATATATGGGGCTCAATACCAAGCTTAGCTCATGTCACAAATAGAGAAGTCCTTTACCTGGGTGATGGTTTGTTGAGCTAGACAATTAGAATTTTGTGCTTGCTGTGAGCGAATATAATTAGCTTTTTAGAAACGTTAAATGACATAATTCAGTGTTAATCAAAACTAAAACTAATGATAAAATTAAATGTTTCAGAATGTGAAGTAATTGGGAAGGACATGTGGTATGGTGTGTGTGTGTGTGTGTGTGTGTGTGTGTGTGTGTGTGTGTGTGTGTTTGCTGGAACATAACTGCATGCCAGTCAAACGTTCTAGCATTCATCCCCAGTCCAGCTCTTACTCTATGATTCTCTGAATCTGGTTCTATCTAAGAGAAGGTTTCAGATGACCAGCCATGCTAGAGAGAGATCCAGGGATGAGAGAACCCCTGTGGGTTATAAAACCATAGTGTAAAGGAACAAGACCGGCCCACCAGGCATATCACAGAGAAAGTACTGATTGAGGGACAGAGAGCTGAAAAACAGGATGTTTAGGTGAACCCAGTGTAACAGATTGAGTGACTGGTAGAAGGAAAATAAGAGGCCTGCCCTAAATTATTTCTAAGGTTCTTTCTCTGTTTGGTGTATTTGTTTACATTAATATATGTATTTCTCTATATTGAACAGATTTTAAAATATCTAAATAGGAGCTGGTACATGCTAGGTGATGTCCCTTTGTCCCCCAGAGGTGAAGTGAGAAGACCAGCCTCTCACCAGAGGCCACTGGGGATGCAGTAGAAATTATTCTAAATTAGTTTTGCCTGATCTTGAGTGAGTCCAAGCAAGCTAAGCATTGCAGAGTCCTGTGTGAGTCACCAAATATACATAGTCCATTGTGCTCAAAGTGTCTAGGATTGAGTCGGCATACACCCCCACCACACACACACACACACACACACACACACACACACACACACACACACACACAGCAATTTTATATTATAGTTACAGATGACACAGTGGCTTATGGTTGTTCAGCCTCTTGAACCAAAACCATGTCATCAAAGTATGGCTCTGAGAGAGCCCAGTACAGAGCTCCCTAGCCCCAGGTGGCCTTGTTCCATCCTCTTAGAGACCTTGTAGGTGCCTAATGTGTTTAGGGATTAAGGCTGCCTGAGCCCACTCCATGCATTGAGTCTTTGGCTCAAGTCCTTTCCCTGGCCAACTGGTCAGCTTTGTTCTATTCATAAAAAGCAAGAGGAATAAGCCTAAACAGGAATTGACAAGATTTTTTTTTCCCAAAAATTTCAGTGAGCCATTAATACAGACACATCATTAGTTTAGTGAAGTCCTATAAGGTAGCATGTGCTTAGAGACTTGCTTTTTTTGCCCAGATGACCAACAGGACAGTCTGATTTCTCTGCCTGTGGTCACCCTCCTTCCAGATTCCAGAAGGATCAGATCCTAATGTGACACAATGCCTGTCTTGGGTATTGTACTAAAACACACACACTTCAGGGACACCATTCTGACTAACCAGGCTGAGTTAACAGGAGTCACAATTCCGAAGTCCATTAACTTTATTCTTTGGCATCTGAGAGGCTTGAGCAACGAAAACAAGTGTGTGTGCCATTTATCAGTTGGCTGAGCCACTTCAAGGAATCAATGTGCATTCGTGTGCTGGGGGCTTGGCACCGTAAGAAAGGTCACCATGCTGGTTCAAGGTGGGGTTGCCTGAGGAAAGCATCAAGCTCCAAAGCCCTCCCTCCCCTCCACAGCTTTGAGCACCATTCAGTCTCTCTCCCACAGTCAAGGGCAATCATGGACATCCGGTTAGTTCCGAGAGAATCATAGATCTTAGTTTATAACAAAACAGGGAACATATGGGTCACTGAACTTGGGAAATAAAATTCTACAATCTTAAAAACATGACAACCAGGCACCTGTGGGAACTTGTTCAGCAACTAGAGGGTAAAGAAGGCGCATGCAGCAGAATAAACCTGGCCACCCTGGATGCTGATGTCATTAATTTTTGGTGCTGGGGATGAAGCTCAAAGGGCCTCCCACACATAATCAAGTGAAGTATTAAGCTACATCCCAGCCTGATATTGGCACATTTTAACTGTTCCCTGCCATAGAAACAGTAGAAGTAGAGTTCCCATTTTTGTTTTGTTCTTCTTTGACACATTTCACTGTTGAGCCTGTGCCAGCCTCTACCTTCAGGCCTTAGAACCTACATGCTGGAGTTACAGCGATAAGGTACCATGACCAGCTCACACTGGTTTGTAGCTGTCTCCTTCCGAACCAGGTTGACCTTGAACCCTGGCCTGTCCTCCTGCCCCTGCCTTCCAAGTGCTGAGATCACAAGCCTGAACTATGTTAGGCCCATATTTTCAATAGCTGAGCTGCTTAGTTTATTCTTCCTTGCAGAGATCTGACTTTTCTCTCCTAAAACCTAGAGAAAAGCTGCTAGCTTATACACAGTAGAAAATGTGTTGACTATTTTCCCATCAGCAAATGATCTCCCTTTTAGACAGACTATAAATTACATCATAGAAGTTCAGAATTTTTATACTCCCAAGGGAGTAAGAAAGGCATAGTGGAACTAGGCATTTGTCCTTCCACTCTGCTAGCTAACTCTCTCTAGCCCCCCTCAAAGTCCCAAAGCTCAGCAATTGCTTATGGTGACATCACCCTTGGAAAGACTAGGTAGCTTCACTGGGCAAAAACTCTCATTTCATTTAATAAAAGTTACCTTTTCTCCATCCAGAAAAGGGGAGTAACTCAGACAATCTCATATTAGCACACACCCACCATCCTTTGTTTCAGAAATGCAGGGGTTACCCTGCATCAAGCAAAGTCCTGGTGTCAGATTAAAAATTGGCCACCTACAGCTCACTGGGCAAAACCAGCTTTGCCTGGCTTTGTAGAAATAATGTTTAGACTGGGTTTTACCCTTTGAGATGGCTGGGGTGAAGGGGATGGGTTGAAAACCATTTTTGTGACATTGAAATTCCCTGGAACTCAAATCTCAGAGTTTATAAACCAGGTTTTGGGCTGGCAGGATGGCTCAGTGGGTAAAGGTGCTTGCTGTCATGCCTCACGATGACCTGAGTTTGACCCTTGGGATTCACATGATGAAAGGAGAGAACCAACTTCTGTAAATTGTCTTCTGGCTTCCACAGGTATGCCATTGTACACATGCGCTCACCCCCACCCACCCACACATACACAGTAAATAGATGTAATACTAAATAAGTGGTTAAATAAGGCCTTGTGAGAGCTTGGCTTTGCTCAAGGTATGGTGAAGCAGCATCCTTGGCTGTATTTGAGATGTTGTTTCAGTCAACTAGTTCCTAAACTTTTTGTTAGCATGATGATAGGAGATCACCAAGAAAAAAACTGTCTTTTGTGTGTCAAAGTTTGCCACAAATACATCTAACCTTCCTAGGTACCAGCTACCACCTAAGTGAAACTCATGGTTCCAGAAGCATACTTATGATTCTGAGTTCTATTAACGAGGACCAATTATAAAGAAAACACTCCCCAAGGAATTCACACCATAAAATATTTATTAAAAATTTAAAATGATTTTCTCCTGCTTTGGTTATTAAAAATCTTTGATTCCTATCTCTGTCGACACCAATTGCCAATAATAATGTGACTTTACTATTCACATCATGAGACAATGGGCATATGACAGAAGACTAGATGAAAGATGCTGTGGGTAGGATGTGTAGAAAACCAAACTTCAGAGTTATTTAACAAATTTTGGCTTTGCTAGCAGTTGAAAATTTACTTACACATGTTTAAACTTTTTCATAAGTAATCAACATACAAATTCACTTGAATTTGATAACATTGGCAATGATTGGAGAGTTTGCTGAAGACTGAGAAAGAGATCCAGGAGTCATGTCTCCTTGGAGAGCTTTTCTCTGGATGCTATAGTTCCTGCTGCAGGAAAAGCAGGCCATTCCGATAACAAGAATATTTTTAAAAAGCCTTCTGATTTGCAAAGTGGTCCTTGGCTGACAACCCACACTGAGAGCATCTCTGTGGCCCACACTGATCATCTCTGTGGCCCACACTGAGCATCTCTGTGGCCCACACTGAGCATCTCTGCAACCCACACTGAGCATCTGTGCATCACTAATCCACACATTGCTAATTCCTTGCCCTTGGTACTATTTGGACAAGGGGATCCTGAAACCAGGCAGAACAAAATGAAGCCCCAAACCATATCACATGGCAAGGATAGAAGTAACTTGGAGGGCAGCAGGTGACAGATAGTTCACGATTTCAATAAAAAAGCATTGAATTACTTCTCAGGTGCCACAGTAGAGCCAGGAAGTAAAAAGGCTCCATCAAAAAGGAGTGAATGGCTTCAGTGACAATCTACTAGAATTCTTAATGTCTTCTTTAGATGGGTACATTTCCTTTTCTTCTCTTTAAGGTAGAAAATCACTTCATAATAAGATATCAACACATGGTTATTAAACACACACACACACACACACACACACACAAAATAGCCTCCCTCAAAATGCATAAAAATAGACAAAGTATATCTTTTACAAAGAAATTAAAACACGCCTCTGGAGGCTTGTCTGTTGACTAGTTCCAAGCTCAAACCGGCTTCTTTTCATAATAATTATATTATTTACATCTTCTTTCAGCCTTGAACACTGCTTTAAAAACCCAGCCCAGGTAAAAGAGAGGTCACAGGTGTTCTCTTGTGCTGCTGAAACAAAAAGAAATAATGACACCATACAATCTCGGGCTCTGGCAGCCACACCTCAAGGGCACTTAGGGGCTCAAGCATTTGTCACAAAATTGAGGACACAGGTGGCGACTCCAGGGGCTGTGTCTTTCCACTCTGAATCAGGAAACATGCACAGAGACACTGCTCTGGAGATGCTCTCAGGCAATGGAGTCATCCAGGAGAACCCTAACCTTGATGAAAATACCACCAACTTGAACAGACTTCTGGCACAAGAATCTGGCCGTTTCTGCCTCAGTCTGGTAAAAGTCTAATTGGTGACTTCAAGCTATACAGTCACTGCAGGGTACATCTTCTGTTCACTGTTAGTGTGGGCAAAGGTGGGCTGTACTTGTCTGTAGCCAGGCTGCAGGCCATCCATGAATTGGGGCACTGGCGTCATGGGCACAGAGTCATGTTGTACCGCATACCCCACATATGGGGTGTGTAGGTACTGCCCTTGATGGGGTACGATCTGGGTGGCCTGCTGACAGTTAAGTACAGAGAAATTTGTGGGCATGTTGACGTACACATTGTTCATGGTTCCCTCAGGCAGGCAGCAGTTGGTCTGCGACCTTGTTGGGGGAGCCCGGGCCCCCGAGTTCGCACTGGAGCTGGAACTCGCAGCAGTGCTGGGCTGCCGAGACGATGACCCCCTGGAAGTACTGGCACTGGGGATCATGGGGATAGTCTCCATCAGGCGGCTGCCCCCCGGGGCTCTGCTCTGCTGGGGATCCTGCTTTGGCCTTAGACATCTGCAACAGCAGGCTGCTACGAGGGACCCGAGGATGATGAAGGCAACAAACACGGAGCCAACGATGAGAAATGGCACATAGATGGGGACTGGAGAAAGAACAGAAACATAGCATCATGGTTCACATAAGAATACCATAAAACCGGGTGAGCAGCAAAGGCCAGGGACAGATATGCACTAACAGTGCACTCAGAAGCGAGGGACAAAAGTATAGTCAGCTTGGTCACAGGTCACCAGTGCACAGGATGCGACTTCCATGGCCAGCTGCTTTGGAAAGCGGCCAAGTCATGGCAAGACCCCTGGAAGTTAAACTACATAATCCCATCTAAAATCCCCTGATACAACACCAGACGCCCTATCCAAGTTGGCAAAGTACAGGCTTGGTCTAGATGATCCTACAATAGCCAAGAAGCCTGAATATAAGTCTTCCCTAGCAGAAAGCCACAGGACCTAAATGGAAATGAATTTATACTTCTCTAAAGCTTTTTTTCTTCTAGGAAATTTTGCACAGTCCTTGACTTCTTTTTGCCATTATTTTCAACAAGTTTATTTTCTTATAGGTAGAACAATAAAAAGTAAGTAAGTTAGGTCAGATTATGAACCACTATCATTTCCAAATAGGAGATAAGACATAGGTGGTCACAAAAGGAAAAAAAAAAAAAAAACCTAACTCTGGGGCAGTTAGATGTCTCAGCAGATAAAAACTCGTGCCACTGAATCTAATGTCCTGAGTCCAACCCCCAGAACCCATATAGTTGAAGGAGAGAGCCTACTTCTGAGAGCCTGCCTTCTGTCTCCAAATGTATGCCACAGCGTGCGCACGCGCGCGCACACACACACACACACACACACACACACACTCTCACACACACACAGGATAAAAGTAAAAAAAAAAAAAACAATGTAATATTTAAAAAGTGCACAAATCTTAAAAACGCCACTTACTAAGAGGGGAGAATAGAAAAATAGTTACCAGAGGCTAAGGAAGAGCAGGGGAAAGGGAGGGATGGGAAGAGCCAGTGGGTATTGAGTTATTCTGAAAAATAAAACCATAAAATGATAATGAAAGCATGTTAGTAAAGCCAGTAAAATTATTTAAACAAACAAACAAAAAACAAAAAACCAAACAGATAAAAAAAACGTTTCGGGAACCTGACATGGTGGCTCATGGCTGTAACCTCAGCACTGCAGAAACAAGAAAACCATTTTGGGTTCAAGGCCACCCTAGGCTACACAGTGAGAAGTGAGTCAGGCCAGCCTGGGCTATAAAGTGGGCTGTAAAGTGAGACTTTGTCTTCATGTATATTTTTAATTGCACATTATATTGTACAATAAATAAAATTGTAAAAAATGTTTGTGGGAGCTGTAGGAATAGCAACCACACAGGGCTAGCAAGTTATGCTAGCAAGTGGTCCCACAGCCTGTTCAGGACACAAGTAGGCAGAGTGAGTGGTAAAACACCTCTGAGCCATTTCCGAGCTATTTTACCTACATCCAAGGAATTTGTATTTTCTGGTGTGTCCCTGACTCTGTTCCCTTTGTCGGCAGGGATGAGAGTGGGTGGGAGGTGTTGGGAATTGAACTTGGGGCCTCATGCACACTAGGAAGCGGTCCATCATTGAGCCAAGGCCAGCCCTCCCTCACTACTCCATTCCAACAGGGACTTCATGGGTTCTGCCCACATTGGCGAAGACACACAGATGCCAGTACCCGATGGGGCAGTATGGAGCCCACACCCCACACATTCTGGGAGTCATGCTTTTCACATACTACACCGAATCATGGAGACATACTGACTTACAACTGAACATATTCCACAGGTTCGGAACAAGTGGGCAGTGGACACTGCTGAGCAGAGAGCCACTGCTACACTTGGGTCCCTTGGGCAACTGGAAGGCTTGCTGCCATCTGCAGCCCAGCTGGCTCCCACAGCTGTACCGCTCTCATTACACCAGCACTAGAGGCCAAGTCAAAGACGGGAACGGTGAAAGGCAAACTTTTTCCTACACACACTATAAATATTCCATTCCCTAAATTAAGATACCAGCCCACGCATGTTATAAGAAATAAACAAACAAAAACAAAACAAGACACACACACACAGATAATTTTCACCTCCAATGAGATAGCAAAAACTAGCTGAAACCAGTCTCAACCCACATAATGAGTTTTGGGGGAAAATAACTGTTCTCTTTCCAGGATTTTTAATTGGAAGTGTAAATAACTATACAGGGATAAACAATGTAGAGCTACCAGGAGCCCCAGAGGCTTAATTGGGCATGTTGTCCTTCGGTTCAGAAGGGCTGTGAAAGGAGCAGGAGATTTAAAGGGGGTGGTTTAGGAGTAGAGTGAGGGTACCCATGCCCAACATAGGCAGTATGAGCAGGCTGCTGCCTCCAGCTTTGGTCAATGCCATCTCGACTTTTTAGAAAATATTAACAAGCCCAACTTAACAGACACATTATTGTAGCCATTCGGCTCATTTCTCCAGGCTTTATTCCCAGACCACACACTCTGCAAAGCTGAGCTGGGGTTTGGATGACACCTTCTCTTGGAATTACCCTCAGTTCTCCTCTCCAGACTCAAGTCAGTACAACAGTCAGAGCAATCAACTCACAAAATGCTTGACTGCAAAGAAGATACTCCTGAAAAGTGCTGATGCCAGGGGAGACCGCACTGTCAACCAGAAACCACCTATGCCAAGGTTCAGGCAATGCCATTCCTACATGCTGGTAGCTCTCTCTCTCTCTCTCTCTCTCTCTCTCTGTCTCTCTCTCTGTCTGTCTCTCTCTCTCTCTCTCTCTGTCTGTCTCTCTCTCTCTGTCTCTCTCTCTGTCTCTCTCTCTCTCTGTCTCTCTCTCTCTCTGTCTCTCTCTCTCTCTCTCTCTCTCTCTCTCTCTCTCTCTCTCTCTCTCTCTCTCTCTCTCGCAGCCTCTCCACCGAAGGGAACATGTCTCACAAGGAAATGCAATCTACTAGATTTTTTGACAGGCTCATTTTCAAAATCTGGCTTTGACCATTAAATAATCAAAGCCTCAGTTAGCAAAGTTGGGCACTGCTCCAATGTCACATCTATCAAGTCTGCCTAAGGACACCAAGCCAGATTCCTAGAGACCTAGGGAGTCACCGGGGACTGTGCACTGGCTCATCCAGAAGATACTAGATCCCTAGGACGTGAAAAGCTGTATCGCCCATGGAAAGCTGTCCCCCACCTCGTTCCCCTCACCCCCCAACTTCCGAGAGCTGCCTTCCCTCTGAGGACCCTTGGAGGAGAACCCCGGACAAGCCTTCTCCAGAGGGGGTACACCCTTGCCATTTCCTTGGGTATTCCCAAGAAACCATGCCTCATGGAAACTGGTGACACAGAGAGGGGAAGGACCCTGAACAGAAGCAACAAGTTTTGTCTTGAGTTTTTTGCCCCACTTCACCCAAAGTTATTGAGTAGGAAAAAAAAAAAATAAAACAAAACAAACCTCGGACTTCTCCTGTCCCCAGGTCCTTTCCTAAACTCTCCAAGCATCCAGGTCTCTGTTGCCCAGGAAAAGCAACTGCCCTCCCTTTTTGCACCTGGTGGTTCATGCCCTACCTGCTGAGCTGTCTGGGCCTTCTCTGTCTGTCCGGCCTGGCTCCCCCACACCCTGCTGACGGTCGTTGTCGCAGCCTCCTTGGTCCAGGCGCGCCTCGGCGCTGGAGCAGCAGTAGCGCAGCGCACAGCTGCCGCAGCAGATGGTGGCATCGCCACCGTCGAAGCGCTCGGGGCACTGGAAGCCTATGCGCCAGACGCCCTGAGCGTCCAACCAGCCATGGCAGTACTCGCCGCTGGCCCGCGCCCCCGCCGCTAGCAGCGCCGCCAACAGCAGCTGCAACAGCGACGCGCGGTGCCCAGAAGAGGTGGCGGGTGAGCCTCGTCTGCCCCACATGGCACTGTCCTGTGATGTCTCTGGAGGACGTAGATCTCCTCAAGAAGTTATGGCTCGGCGACGCCAGGGACCTTCCGTGAGGGCCACTCCCCTCTGCCGCGACACCCAGGCTGCAGCGCCAGGGTCTAGGTCATCCCTCCTTGCTAGTGAGCCGTCCCAGCTAGACTCGGCCTTCACAGCCGCATCACGGAAGGGATGTTCCTGGAGGTTTGGCGTGCGATCCGACCTTCCCTGTGCATCCCCGAGGGGACACCCGCTGCCAACCGGGAGCCAGGCCGCTGCTGGAGAGAATCAGCGGCGGGGTCCCGCGCGGGTCGTGTGCGTCTCCCCTCTATTCACCTCCGGAGCAAGAAGCAGCCAAAGAAGCGGGCAGTGTGAGCAGAGCTCCCGGCGGCAAGTGCAGCGGCCAGTCGAGCTCTGGCTCTGCGGCGCCGGGCTCGAGCCTCCTCATGGCTCCGGCCACCGCTCTGGACGCTTCGAGTGTCCACACCTCCCCTGCAGTCCCGGAGCCCGCCCGGCTGGCGGCTGCCGCGGCTGCTGCTGGGCGCGGGGCCAGCGGGCTGCCAGCCCCGGCTTCTGCTGCAGCTCGCGTCCTGTCTCCTTCTCCCGGTCGCGAGTGCGCCTGGAACAGTGAGCTCCGGTGGGAGACGCCCACGGAAGTTTCAGTCCCTCCGGCTACGGGAGCAGAGGAACGCGCGGTCGCCCCATGCTCGCTCTGCACAGCAGCAATCCAGCACCGACTGCTGAGCTGCGCGCTGCGCTCCCCTCTTAAGAGGGTCTGGAGGCTTCCCTGCGCGCATGCGTGCTGCGAGGGCTTCCCTCCTGGGGATGCCAGGGGACACCCGCAGCCCTTCGCTTTCCTACACCAAAGGTGTGGTGGGGGGGGGGGGGCAGGCAGAGGTGCGAGTGAACCAAACAGGGGTGTGGGGAAACTTGTGTTAAGTCAGACACGCCTTGGAAAGCACAATTAAAGCAAGGCGTGCAGAAGCAAAAGTTTAGTACTAATCTTCAACATTCTGAGTTACTCTGACAACCCTCCAAAGGATAATTACTAATTGCTTTCCATGTTACAGACGACGCGGTCGTCACTCGGTTTCCAGCCTCTAGGCTCAGGAGGAACACAGATACGATCTGAGCTGTGTGACACCCACCCCACCCCCAACCACTGCACAGAAGAGTGAAGAGGTCAGCAAGGTCACCAATGATGTGGTCACTGTCTAAATGATCTAGGTCACTTTATTTGGTCTCCCCTCCTCCTACAGTTGGGTGTGGTGATTGTCGAAGTTCAGCAGAAAGGTGCCCCCATGAAACATTTGACCTTGGTGGCTTAGACAGCTGCTGCCAGGAAGAAGGCGAGGATCCAGACGCCAGAGATTCTGAGAAGGAACGGGTATCAGTCAGCTCTTGCAGAAGCTGAACAGGTGCTGATGCTATTGAAGTAACGATGGGTATTTTTAAAGGAACCACTGTGCCGTTCTCAGCCAGAGTCAGTCAGTGTAAATTCTAGACCCAGCCCCTCAGGAGCTCTCACATGTTGCTGGGCTCTGTTTCTTCGTGTATTTAATGAAACATCAGCTGTGACTAAAACTTTTCAGGTCCACGACTACAGGATACAAAATAATTTTATCCATAGCAAAGACATTTTGGGTTAAACCACTATGGGTCTCTTAATGCAACTCTTCACCCCAGACATCAAAAATGAGCCTCTGGTCACCACTCCAAAAATGTGTGTGCCCGCTGTACTCACAAAACACTTATCATTCAAGCGCCTCCAAGTACTTAATGCACTTGCATGGACCCCAGGGCCTGTACTGGAGAAGCAGATGTCCTACCACTGAGCTCCATCCCAGTACTGAAATCATTTACTTTAAATGAACCAAATGCCAATCTTCTATAAGCCAAGAAATGAACAAAACTTCAACATGCAGGGGCCATTCAACATTCTGTGTGGCATACTGGAGATTTGCCTTGAAGCCAGACACCTTGGCCATTTCCTGAGCAGGGTGGTCTCCCTCCCACCCACATCCTAACCGGGCCCAACCCTGCTTAGCATCAGAGATCAGATGACACTGGGCACAATCAGGATGGAGTAACAAAAAACTCTTGAGTCTCAGAGTTGAGAGAGAAGTTGGACTGAAGTATAATCAAACAAGTAAAAATAATAAAGTATGGTGGGATCTACAAGCAGCAATATACAGGGCCAATATGCATGTGAGGGATGGGTATATACACATATGCCCACATATATGAGCATGGGTATGGTGGACAGAGGTTGATATCAGGCCTCTTTCTCAATTACTTTCCATTTTGAGACATGGTATCTTATTGAGCATGGAGTTCACCAATTGAACTAGACTGGTTTTGGCTTATAAACTCCAGAGATTTGCCTGTCTGTGCCCCCAACCCACCACTACCACCACCACTACACACACACACAGAGAGAGAGAGGGGGGGGAAAGAGAGAGAGGGGGAAAGAGAGAGAGAGGGAAAGAGAGAGAGAGAGGGAAAGAGAGAGAGAGAGGGAAAGAGAGAGAGAGAGGAAAAGAGAGAGAGAGAGGGAAAGAGAGAGAGAGGGAGGGAGGGAGGGAGGGAGGATTACAGGCCAATGGCACAACACTTAGCTTTTTCTGTAAGTGCTGGGGATTTGAACTCAGGTCCCCATGCTTGTATAGCACAGACTTCATTGACTGATCCATCTCCCTGTCCCTTTACAACACTGGGTTGAGAGGAAAGGCCAAAAGAAACATCAGAGGACTGGTATTTACACTGAGACTGGGAGAAGCCAAGGTTTGTTGGAAGGAGTCGTTATCTTGGTCAGTATTGTTAGCTACCATCTACTGTGAACTTACTGTAGCCTAGGCATCATGTCAAGAGTGTCACATCTGCAGTTTCCTTTAATCCTCATCACTACCCTGTGAGGAAGATATTACTTTTCTCATCTTATTGGTGAGGATCAATCTCCCAGCCCACGTGGACAGGAAGTGCCAATTTTCCTGGACTCACTCATTTCTTGCTGGACTCCAAAGCCCGTTTACCAACCTGGTCTGCACAGTTGGCATTTCCTATGTCAGTATAGGTTGATTACCTAGTATTCTGAGAGCTAAGTACATTCCTTAAAAAAATTAAATTATGTGTATATGTGTTTGTCTGTGAGTGGGTATGTACACAACGTGTGAGTGAGTTCAGGAGCCTGAAAAGGGCATTGGATCCCCTAGAGCTGAAGTTACAGGCACTTGTGAGCTGCCCCTTGGGATTTCCAGAAAACTTACTCCAATCTTCTATAGGTGGCTCTTAGTTGTTGTTTGATATATTTGTATTTAGTACAGAGAATGCTTGCTCCATACCCTCTTTCCTCTTTTATTTATGTGGGTCTCTAAAACCTATAGTTTGCCAAAACGGCTAAATATTTCATATTGAATTGGTCAGGTTTGGTTGTTCCATGGTTTAAGTACAATCTTGTTGGATTTTTTTCCACAAACAGTCAACAATTACTCTATAAATTGGTAAATTTGGGAGTTTGTAGCTTTGAGGACATTCATTCTCTCTCTTTTTTTTAATAGTTGTGTGTCTCTTTGTCTGTTTCTCTTTATTTTTAACCCAGTGGGGGTGGGGGTGGACACAAAGTCTTGTCCATTCTAAGAAGATGCTCTGTTGTTGAGCCATATCCCCTTAAAATCAAGGGAGACTTGTTTCACTGGGACTTAATCTGATCATTGCCTTCAGGGTTCAAAAGTCCCGCTCCTTCTATCTCATCTGGTTTGTTTTTATTTTACTGTACACCTAATATGCTGTATTGAAATCTTACAAAATAACTTAGAAATTGCTTTTCTATTGTGGGTGCTGCAGAGAGGTGTAAGGAGTACGGTTTTTCCACCCGCCACTTGGTCTTGTCCCGCTGCCATGCCAGCCCCAATTAACACACAGAGACTCTGTATTTGATGTGATGCTGTTGGCCACTTACATGTTTCTTATCGGCTAGCTCTGTCTTAAGTATTAACCCATTTCTATGTATTTCCACATGATCTTACCGAGAGCGGAGGAATGGCGGTTCTGTTCTCTCCAGACTCTCCATGCTGACTCCTCCTTACTCCTTCCTCTTTCCTCCTTGTCCCTAATCCCACCTATCTTGCTTTCCTATTGGCCAACAGTGCTTTATTCATTAACCAGTATGAGAAACATATATACAGAATGGTATCTCCCATCAAAGAGGATTTAAGATGGCCTTGCTCTTTCCAGAGGAAACATAAAGAAATTTCCCTCACTTTCCTTAACAGGCCACCTAACTTATTCTCTCTTCTGAGACAACAAAACTTACTATCACAGCACATAAGCAGCAACTTCTTAGTGAGTCTTAGCAGGATCAGGAGTCTCACCTTCTGCACACACAGCAGTAGTCTGTTAAAGGAGAGCAAAATTTCATGTTTCTTTTTTCATGAACACGAACAGTATTGCAAATCTCATATTTGCTGAAGTATTGTGTTACCCAATACAAACTCAAATCTAAACAATTATATTAATTTAACTCTACATCTTTTTAAAAAGAGTTAATTTATTTATTATGTATACAGTGTTTTGCCTGCATGTATGCCTGCATGCCAGAAGAGGGCAACAGATCTTACTACAGATGGTTGTGAGCCACCATGTGGTTGCTGTGAATTGAACTCAGGACCTCTGAAGGAGCAGCTGGTGCTCTTAACCGCTGAGCCATCTTTCCAGCCCCTAACTCTACATCTTGCTCCATCATTTTATCAAACCCCTATTGGAATGTTTACTGTTTTATATTTTCTCCTTGGAAATATGTAGTTAGAAGTTATCCAGGACCTTTATGTACATGAAGGCAAAATCAGGAAGTATATAAAAAATGATTGCAATAGGGCTGGGGAGATGTCTCCATGGGTAAAGCATTGTTATGGAAGTATGAAGACCAGAGTTTATCTCCTTAAAACCTACTGCTGCACCTGTAGGTGCACTGGCTACTCACAATGTTGCAGGCTTTTATTAATTGTGAA